TTCTATGGTGGGACAAAAGGTAGAATGTTGAGTTTTTAAAGAAATGGGACTGGGAAAAAAATGACATGAAAACACAAAATGCAAAGAATGTTCACGGCATTGGTTAGGTAATATTGTAGCTTCTCTGGGCTCAAAATAGGTAACATATAAAGTGAAGTCGATTATATTTTGTTGAATGAATCTTTCCACCTTGAATCTAGGACTTGAATATTTATTAAATATGTGTAAGCCACTAATCTAATTCCTATGGCAAGTGACAGTTGTATAAGATACAGTTCTTATCTTCAAGGATTTCAAGAGTCTACAGAGAAATGAAAGGTGCTCTGGGGATCATTAAAAAAAAAACAAAACATTTTGAATGGGAAACCTGCTCTTTGAAAGGGCGGTATTGAAAGGTGGCTCTGCGTAACCAGCTCAGAAAGATAACCACTTAATCACTTGGCTGGAGAATTACAAGTATGAGAAAATGACAGAGTCTCAAAGTGTGATTATAGTCAGATTATTCTGCCTAAAACGCAGCTTGAGTTAGGGCATTCTCCTTTTAAATAATCAGTGGTTTCCCAGTGCTCATGAAATTGGATGGTTTGGTCTTTGACTAGGTATTTAAAGGACTCGCGAGTATAGCCCTAAAATACCGTTACAGCCTTACTTCTTACTGTTTTCCTGGATCTAGTACACATTCCAGCCTATTGCTCCTTGAAAGTGCTCCCCTTTTAATATTTCTGCCCGTTTCTGCCTACTCATCGTTCAAGACCCATCTCAGGTGATACCTTCTTCACGGCACCATTTCTGATTCTTAGGAGTTCCCATAGCAAATGTTCCTTGTGCTTACATTATAGAAGAAATTCCATTCTGTTTCATCTATAGCTATTCGTGCTATTTTATTCACCCTAGTAAATTATAAGCTACCAAATAAGCATTGACTGTCTGTTACTCATTTCTGTATTTTCTGAAACATCTAGAATAGTGTAGTGCTTTGTATGTAGTGTTCAGGTGTTTATTAAATTTTATTTCTGTTTCTTGACTTTAAAGGAAGCTTCATATCCCGCATAGAATATTTTGTCCAGACTTAACTGCCAAACAAGTAGAGGCCAACAAGTAGAAATCCTGAGTTACTTCAACACCAAGAAACTATAGTGTTGAAGGAGGGCTGTCTTTGTGGTGTGTGTTACTTCTTGGAATTGATAGTATTTGAGGACGATCGCCATGCTGTATGACACCAGTTCCTTGTTATTTTCCTGTTTATGTGGCAAAGTTAATGTCAAAATGATTCAAAGTATTGGGTGGCAAGTGATTTTAGCATCTGTCAAAACTCAAATACATTTAATATAATTACACTGGATTGGGTTTCTTAATATATAATAATATCTACGTTCATATTAAAATGTACCTTATGAGAAAACAGAAAGCATCTTTCTCCTTACCTGTTCCTGCCAGTATTTAGAAAACCTATGAGTCAAGTTGGAAAGGAACCAGTTATCTCAGAGAGGTGACTGTTTCTTAGGAGAAGGGTGGCGATGATAGAGTAAAGATGATTAAATTAGAAATAGGCTTGGTTAACCAAGTATAATAGAGCACACATTGAATAATACCTAGCATGGCATTACCTGCTAGAGTAAGGTATCAGCTCTTTTTACTTATTCTATGTACTAAAATAACCTAAAATCATTTTTATTTGGTCTTGTAATATGGATTTCTGCTTAAATTTAAAAAGAGATCTAGAGATTCATAATATTTCATACTTATTTAAAGATTTGACGCAAAAGAAACGAAGATTTTTGGCCCTATTGTTCAGTTTTACCAACTTTTTTTCTGCTTTCTCCATTTCTGATATGTGGGTTCAGTGCAGCACCAGTCCAATTTAGAACAAATTTATTTGAAGCGCTCATATTTTCTGGGGAAAAGAGATAATGTAAGTAATATGGTTTAAAAGGCATGGCCTTCCATCTTCTGCGAGGTTAGAATAAACAGATCTTGTGCACAGGTAAGAAGTGGAACAGTGTCAGTAAGCTTGTAGATTTGTACGAGTGATGAGATTAATTTTCAGTAAAGTTCTCTGGGATGTCAAGAAATAATGAGAATATCCTAAACTAGATTATTTTCACGTGATGAGCACATGGCATGAGCTATTGGATGACAGATGGTATAAGCTATGTCAGTCCATGAGACATTAAAGATCCATCAACAAGGGGTAATGTGCCCTTATTCATTACTGTAAGTAAAGAGAATGTCACCCATTTAGATGAGCTCAGCATTTAAAAAATGTTTTCACTTATTATTGGGAAGTTATATTACTCCTCAACTAATGTTACTCCTGAGCTTTGTCTAGAAAGATTACGTTTGCTGCTGACTCTGTAAGAGATGGTATGAAGCAATGTGTATTCTTTAACAACAGTTGGCTAAAAGCAGGTTTCTCCCCCTTCTTCTCTAAAAGAGATTCTTGAAGGTTGAAGTTAAAAATATCACTAGATTAGATACTAAAAGAATACAGGCTTTTCGCGATTGAAAACAATCATTCTAAGTTGCATACAAATATAATAGATACGCTTTTTTCTCCTCTCATTAAAGGTGGCTTTCTAGAAGATGACCATAGAAGACCTTCCAGATTTTCCATTAGAAGGAAATTCTTTGATTGGAAGATACCCATTTTTATTTCCAGGTTCTGATTCACCAGTAATCTTTTCCATTTCTGCAGCACCAATGCCTTCAGACTGCGGTATGTTAAGTTGCTGTCTTTATTTTCTATGAACTGGTAACTTGACTTCTGTCTTATGTCCTTTTTACACTCGTAATTTTTCCTAAAACCATTGGCTGTGGTTTTCATAAAATTGCTAAAGTTTTTCTTTTTCAAAAATACAATTGTCTTTTCTGCCTCTTAAGCAAAATGTTTTATTTCTGCTATCAGCATTTTTACTATGTAAAAATGTTCATTTTAAGCATGACGGATTTAGAGGATCTTATTTTTAGAATTCAATGGTGCTTAGACATCTAGCATTCTTCTGCTATTGATGTATTTTGGTTAAATATACTGACTTGTTTAAAAAGCCATGTATAAAAAAATGATGTACAAGCTGTCAGCTAGCCACCTCCAAGGGCTCTGCTGTCTCCGAAATGCTAGCATTCTAGTTAACAGAGTAAATAATCACTACTGAGATTCAAATTTGGGTGACAATGTAACAAGTTTCAGTACCCAGGCAAGCCTAACTTGGATCCTGTCTCAGTTATCTCCCATTATAATTATCAGCGTACACACAAATAAAATATAGTAAAACTTTACAAAAAAAAAAAAAAAGAGCTAAGTACTTAGGCAGAGAGGGTGAGACCTTTCCCTGGAATGTGGAATGAGATTGGTTCATATTTAAATGGGTTCATTTAAATCTCCTCTGTAAAATATAAATTTAGAAGTAATCTAGTTTTTATCTATTTAGATTTATTCCCCCAGGACCATATTTTATCAGAGAGTTGATAAAGGAATAAAAGAAAACCAGCAGATAAATTGATAGATTTGTTACATTTCTAATTTAGTTAGAGTTTTTCAAATAAAATATTGGGTCACCATTTCGAATCGTCGTTGAAGGTAGAGATAATGCAATTTAAAAATATTAGTAGATATAAAATTATTGGATTAGGAATTTGTGTATTTAGTCATATCCATTCTAATAACTATTCATTTCCAAGATGCTATTTTTATGTGTTTAGATCCAGTAGCAGCTTACCTTGCAATTATCAAAAGTATTACATAGAACCTATGCCTAGATCCTGAGAGTTATTTGCAACTTTTATATAAATTGACTGAGTTTTTTTTCAGACATAACAAAGTCAGTTATGCAGGAAAAACCTTGAACTGAAGCACTTTGTACTTTGCTTATGGCACTTAACCTTATTCTATTTTGAATCATATTTTTCTTATTTCCTTGCCTAGACTATAGCTCTTTGGGGTAGGGTAGCAATCATGTTTGTTTTTGTTTATCTCAGTAGGGCTAATATAATCATTTATTGATATTCGTTGCTAAGTCAGTGTTTGTTGAATAAAAACATTTAATGAAAGATGATAACGGATATAGACATCTCTGTATAACTGAAATTAAATGTTGCCTATATTCTTACAATTATAGATTCTTAGAATCTGATTGGAC